GTGAGAGGTGATAACATACATGAAGGAGAAAAAAAAGTGTGAAGGTTCCAGGTTGAATTTACAGCACTAAAGTTCAGTAAATCCACTTTTCTATGCGGAAGTGAAGCCAAAGGGCAGCAGATACCAAGCACCGTGTTTCCAAATTTTAGAAAGGGAGTCGATTTTCATGAAAAAAAAAAAAATAGTAAAAAGACACACGTGAAGTTCTACCTTCATTCAATTCCTGCCCAAGGGTAGTTGCAGTTCCTCTGCCCTCTGAAACTAGTTCATGCCCCCTCCTGAGCCCATTTAGACCTCTCCATCACACCATGGTGCACATGTACCACAGCACAGAAAACAGCAGGATAAAGCTACACGGGACAGTAGAGCGACATGGTTAAGTCATATTATTGTTATTGCTAATTTGTTGTTGCTGTGTACAGTTAACATGTCATTAGTGAGAGCTGTGGATAGAGACCTAGGGAGCATTCCCTGTGCCAGTATAAACCCTCTGCAGAGGTACTTTAGCCCCCTTAAGGCCAGTGCCTGCACAGATGTTGAAGACACTGCTATTGCAGCACAGCAGTCTCCCATTGCTATAAAAATTCTCCACTGTGCATGTAAGGTTCTTTTGACACTTACAAACCCTTTATTCTAGTGGCACTCAGAAGTCCAATCTTTTGCTTTTTGTTTTTTTAACCCTCTCTGTTTTTGAGGGATTGAGCACTGGAGGGACTGTTCCTGAGCACTGGAAAAAAAAAAAAATAACCTGTCTTGGTTTCACCACCTCACCATTTGCTGCCTCTGTCCAGGCTGCACACTGAGCCCAGCTGGAGCCAAGGGACAGGGAGCAGGTGACACAGGACAAGCAGGTCATGCCAAGGTCTAAGGCAAAGACCTTTCATCTACTTAATTGCCAATTAAGTATTGCTCCTTTTAGTCAAGACAACAAATGAAAACAGGGAATGAAGTGTGGCTCAGATTCTTCAAAAAAAAAAAAAAGATGCTACAAAGAGGGTAATTAAATGCTTTTATTGATGGAAAAGTTTTTGAATTTGAGCTTATCAAGGACTGGAATTTCCTACCTTGCTCCACCACATCTATAAAGTAGTTTTCCCCTACCCTCCTACCAAGGGAAAATGTCCAGCTGTAACTGGGGAGCAACGGGCTCATGAATATGCTTCGTGGTGGGAAAAAGGACTCGATATGCAGTGAGGACACAGTGGGGTTGCAGAGGGGACTGTGCTCCTCTCTGCTGTGAGGTGCCAGGCTGGGCTGGGAGGACCAGCCAGCATTGCACAGGAAGGGACACGCAGGAGATGGGGATGAGGTGCAGGGAGATAGAGATGAATGCAAACACCAGTGGTGCCAGGCAAGGAAAGCCAAACAGAGACATGGACAGCCCTTGGTAGTGACTGCTGACGAGGAGGTTGGGGCCACATAAATCTTGATTTCTTTGTTTTCCCCTCATCAGCACAAAAGAAACAAGATACAAGTTGTTACACAACTTTGGAACGAAGTCAGCTTTATGAAACATGGCATGCTGCCTTCCTGCCAGAAAATGCTGCCTTGGGTCTCCTCCTGTGCTCTTTGAGATAAGGCTCTGCCCTCCCCTGCCTTAATTCTCCCTGGCATTTGGCCTTCCTCCCTTCCCTCTGCTCCCAGCACTGATGGCTACATTTTTTGGCAGGGCCCTTTGATAAACACAGCGGGGTTCAGCAAAACCTTTAATCACCCACCGAGAGCCCTTCAACCTCAAGGCTCGGTGAAGCACATTTCATGAATGTCCTTCACAAATAGCAAGAGCAAAGTGTTAGCCTGAAAGCAGCAAATTCCTCACACTGTACAGCCCCATATCTTACAAGATCTGGTACACTTGTGAAGCCGTGGTCAGGAAGTGGCATTACGTGCCGATCTATGTCACCTGCAGCGGCCACTGATGGCCCCCTGCCCTCTCACCATGAGCTCCACGTCCCTGCTCCTTCCCCTGCCCAAGACCACGAGCTGGTGAGAAGTTACACATTTTGCTGGAAGGCAAAGCTGCTGTGAATGGTTGGGTAGCAGTGTTGGTGGTTGGTCTTAGCATGTGACAGATGCCGGGCAGCTTATTCCTCAAGCAAACACAGTGAGATGCCTCCTTGTGTTGCACAGCAGAGCTATGCCAATTTTCCCATGGCCAATTGTCCCAGTGTCTAAGGTAAATAGGGACCATTGGGGTTATCTAGTTTTTGCAGGAAACACAAACTAAAGGATTAATCAGTGAAGGAGCTGCTGGAGCTGTGTGGCAAGAGGGGATGAAGTACCAAAGGTGAAGCCATCAATGAATATGGCTTGTGAACCCTTCAGAGCTGTTAGCTCTCCTTCCTGGAATTGCCATATTGCATATAATGGACCAAAAGAAATAAAATGAGATGGGCTAATCTGCAGCACATGTGCTTCTCCTCATGGGACAGCAGCCTGCCCTGGATATCTTTCCACACATGGTACGCAGTAAGACCACTGAGGTTTTTCCTGACCAACCATCTACCTAATTATACTCTGGGCAGACTGAAAACAACAAATGGAGATCTGTCAGTTGTTTTGTCTCACTCTTTTAGGAACAAGACTCTGAGGTTTTTCAGAAACCATTTTTAAGAGGCTTTTCCTCTCCCTTCCCTTCCAAGTGGCCCAGTTACTTTTGTTGGATTAAAGTGCAGTCAAGCATTACAAAAGTAGGGATATGTTTAGTTTCCAGCCCAGGTTCTAATTTGTGAGTGGTAATTCCAGTTGTTTGTCCTTCTACAGGACTGTAATTGCTTTTTATCAGCAGAGTCCCATCTGCTGAGGATCTGCTGGGCAATGCCCTGGCTGTGAGATACGCCCTGATATTGTGCTGCAACATGAGATTATGAGGAGCTTCCATTCCTGAATTATGTGATTAAAAGGAACACAGTAGGTGATGAGAGCTGCAGGACAACTACACAAAGCTCCTTGAGAATGCTGGACCCTGTCTTTAATCAGAGTCCAGAAAAGTATCAACAAAAACCCAGTCTGCAGGGAAAGAGCAGAGCCTGTGACTGGCACAGCATCGCTTCCTAGAGCCTCAGAGGAGGAATGCATGTGGTTAAACCCCGGGACTTCAAAGGAATAAGATGAAGGAGGGTTCAATGCTAGCAAAATTGAAGGTTTTTATAGGATATAAATGGCTTTGTGTCTCATCAAAAGGGTAGAAGTCCCAGTGGCGGAACAAATGATAGAGGAGGTTTTGGAGGAGAGACAGAGGAAGCCAAGTCTGAAAGAAAAAAGTGAATAGATAAGACTGAAAGGAAATGGATGGCGAAAATGGGGTGCAATAAGGTCTTCTAAGGCTTTCCAATACTCTTGAGAGTTAATAGGTATTTCCATTTTCTGGAGCTTTAAAGCCTTGGGTTTATGATATAAAAGAGAGAGACCCAGAGAGACCTACACAGGCAGTTGTTGTCTGCAGGAGACAGTCCTGGCAGTAAATCCAGAGACACTGGTTAATCTGCGAGCAAAACCAAATACAAAGACCCAAATGCACAAGCAAAGTTCAGCAAGAGCAATGTGAGACCACACTGTAATAATTTCCTTCTCTTGCCTCAAGTCCAAGTATACAAAAGCAAAACACCCAGCCAGTCATGCAAGAATGAGGTTTGAGGAGCCTTGAGGCCTCTCTGTTTCGAGGCTGTTTGACAGCACACTGTGGCAAACCTCACCCCATCTCCAGAGTCATCAGCTGCTTCCCTGTTTTAGGATGAATGTGATGATGTAAAGTAGCAAAGGAGCAGCAGTGGGGGTCAGCACAGTGATGGGGATGGCTGCTGCCAATGGGGCAGAGCTGCAGGGTCGTGATGATGGAGGGAGCAAGAGGCAAGAGGGAGCTGGAGAATGAAAGACACACAGGGTTGGGGTCCAAGGTAGGGTAAGAATGTTGATGAAGTCTTGCTGTCTCTGAGTGATAACCTGTGACAGGCACAGTGGAGCAGCTGAAGTTCACTGACAGTCACCTGTGTTTGAAAAACAGACGGTTTGCAGTGTGTTGGTGTTCTTAGGTCTCACCGATTTCCGTCACGGTGTCCCAAAGTGAGCTGGGAGACAGCTAGTGTTTAATCCCTACTGAAAATGAATCAAAACAGGAAACCCAGCTGGTTAGCTTGCCTCTGAAGAGCAAATGCATGTGTAGTGAATTCTGCAGAAGCATCAGATACTGAGCCTCAGCTCCACTCCCACCCACTGTGTGCAGGCATCACCTCACCCCTCTCTTGCAAAAGCTCAGTGCCACTGGCCAAGGAGCTGTAGGGTGAGAATCCCATAGGAAATAGGTACTGAGATAGCTGGGATGTTTGGATGTCTTTTCTTCACAGACCCACTCCTAACTGCCCATACTGTGATCAAGGTATCTGGCATATGCGAATAATAACACAGCAGAGGCTGCCAGAAGAAGAGCTCTGTGATAAAGTTTTTGAGGATATTTATTTCAAAATTTCCTGTTATTTTTTTCTTAGCTGAAAAGCCAGACAAAACAAAAAGAGAGAAGTGTTGTGGTCTTTGGAAAACAGATGCGGTAAAAATGTACATTTTCGATAAAATGCATAGTTTTGAAATGCTCAGTACCCAAACTTTTTTTAATAAATTATTTATTGTTTTCTATCTTTTCAGTATGAAAGAGTAGTGTTAGTAAACTGAACATGTAAGGAAAACAGTTCTTTTTGCTTAAAAGAGCACTTCATTTTGTTGGAAGAAAAAAGTAGAAGCTGAATTTTAAACAAAGCTTTTGACTGGTTCTCTAAGAATCCTCGTGCTGAAGTGAAGTATATATATGTGCATATATGTATGAGTATGAGCAAAATATGTAAGGTGCCATATATGAGATGCTTTGTACTTTTAAATGTCTTATATAATCAGTTAATTTGCTTCTGCTCCATTAAAATTAAATCTCCCACGGACATGACAGTCTTGTCTAATTATTCACTTAATCCACAATCATTAGCATCAACCAAGTGCTTTTCTCTGTCTTTTAGAAAAAAAGGACTTTGAAGGGTTCTGTGGAACTTTCCAGGATTAAATGTGTGGAAATTGTGAAAAGTGACATCATCATTCCCTGTCAGTATAAATACCCTTTCCAGGTGAGTCTGTCTGTTGACCACACTGATAGAGATATCATTTCTATATATTTCAATAAAATTCTCCCTGACAGTGCAGTTGTTAATGAACCCAACACCAGGATGAATAACAATGAAGGAAGAAAAAGCAGATTGAGGTTGGAATTGAACTGGGGAGTCAGAGTGTTACTACAAGATCCATAAACCCTTGCACTCATTGGTTTTAAATTGGAAAGGATCATTAGATAGAATGCTATCCCGTGTTTAACACAACATTCAGCTGTCCCCCTGACTCATGTTCAGAAAAAAAGCATCTTTCACATGGGGAATCCACTCAGGATTTTGTCCATTTTAGCTGTGTGGTACTGAAGCTGAATACACATGAAATGAGTGATTTTGGGCAGCTGCTTATGCTCATGGCTGTATCTTTGAGAGACCTGCTTACTGCATATTTTGAAATCTGCCTTTGATTGTCAAAACATTATACAGACCTGACAATAGGAGTGACTTTGGTGGGAATTATTTCTCCCTTTTTTCTATTTTATTGTTCTGTAGCATGCAAAGAAACTGCATCACTCTTCAAGGACTTCAGACTGAGACAGAAAATGTTTTCTGTTCTTTAGACAATAATCAATATTGCCTCATCTATATCTCTGCAGAAGCTTTAAAAATCAGCTACTGTCTTGTAGAAGCCTCTGTTTAAAGACAGTGGTCAAAGTTTTTTTAAGCATTTGTGAATCAAATGAGCCCAGGTCCCATTTGGCATGAAATTGCTGAGCTAAACATTGAAACAGAACTGTAGATTATGCATTACATCAAATATTAGGCCCAAATATAGTAATTCGATTCAGTTTCTGATTCATTTCCATTCTTGTGATGATTTTACTCCCTGGTCTGAAACTTCACAAGCTTTCTGTATTTCTCTCATTTGTTTGTTTGTACTTAAGCCAAGTTGATGAAAACGGCTTCTGGATTGCTCATTGTTCATCTGCTCCAGCTTCTTACCTCCCCTCTATAAACCTACTGAAAGATATTAAAAACACTGAAAAACAATAGTATTCAAATAATCTCCAGGGACTTGCTTGAGATTTATACTGACACACAAAATATTTGGCTCTTAGATCTCAAGTGAAGGTACCTTATAAGGAATTGCTAAAAAACTCCATTTTCCCAGAGAAATGGAGTTTTAGAAGGATAAACTGCAGCCAGTGAGTAATGGGCTAAATCCTCTGCAGGCTGGAATTGCTCCATCTCTGTTGATTTCACAGGCATTTCTTAACAGCAAAAAAGTGATCTAAAACAGTGCTTGTCTAGAATTCTTTCTTGATAAGAATTTCCATTCCATTTTAAATAGCAAAAAGTCAATGAGCTTAAGAGATGCTTCTGAACAGACCCTGTCACTCCACTTCCCCACATCATCATTTTGTGTGTAACTTGTTGGTAAGAGGGCTGCTGCCTGTTTCCTTTGGTGACTCCATTGTGCCCAGAGTATCTGGGATTGCTTCTCATGGCTGGCTCCCTTCTTTACTCCCCTCTCCAGATCGTCCACGATAGCTACGTACTCTACGTGTTTGCACCCAACCGTGAGAGCCGGCAGAGATGGGTCCTCACCCTGAAGGAAGGTAATAAAACCCCTGTGCCCACCTACTCGTTGAAGTTACTTATGTCTGACCAGTTTTCTCACAAGCTATAATGCAGAGGAAATGTGCAAGAGGAGTCAATGTCTCGTATCTGAGCAGGCAAAGTGGTAATGGGTTATAAACTCAAACTGCTTGTAAATTTGGTGGGTGTGTTTTCAGCAGCAGTGGAAAATTTGGACAGGGAGTGCTTTATTTGGGGACCTTCTCAATGTCTGTAAGTGTTTGAAGGGAGGGTGACAAGAGGCTGGAGCCAGGCTCTGCTCAGTGGTGCCCAACAACAGGACAAGAGGCGATGGGCAGAACTGATACATGGGAAGTTCCACCTGAACATGAGGAAGAGCTTCGTTCTTGTGGAGTGACCGAGCACTGGAACAGATTGCCCAGAGAGGCTGTGGAGTCTCCCTCACAGGAGAAAGTCCAGAACAGTCTGGACACAATCCTCTGCCCTGTGCTCTGGGATGACCCTGCCTGAGCAGAGAGGTTGGACCAGATGAGCCACTGTGGTCCCTTCCAACCTGAACCATCCTGTGATTCTGTGATTCTGTAATTTGAGGTTTCTTATTCAGCAAGAGACAAGCATTTTACTAGGGCTAATTTTTTTAAATAATCCTTTCTACATAAAAGATTTTTTGCCTCTTATTAATAGATTTTTTTTGTTTGTTTGTTTGATGACAATCTTTTTAGAGAATCATGACTATAAAGAAACATTTTTGCGGGCAGCTTTCATTTCCTGTTCCCCTCCTGAATTGTGCTGTGGTTCGCTACCGTGGTGCTGAAGGCACAGCACCGAACCACTGCAGGCAGACACGAAGCACAATGCTTGATGTAAGGGTGGTGTTACTTAGTTACATGAAACTGCACCAGGCTTCTGTCACAGCTTTTTCCTGCTTTATAGCACGAGCTGCTGTATTGTCCCCTCTGAAAACATTGGGCCTGATGAAGGTGTTATGAAATTCATGCAATTGACTCTTTCAACTAGTTATTCCTCTTCTGGAATGCACCTGCTCCAAGCTTCTACTTCATCACCTCTTCTCATTTAACGTTTTGAGACTGTCCCCTCCCTTGGACAATTTGAACAGTCTCTTGAAACAGGCCTGCAGAATTTTTCTATTCGTGAAAGTTATGATTACAGATAGAGAGCCTGAGTTTAAAAAAAGAAGAATTTTAATCACTTATCCAGATATTCAAGACTGGTATTTACAAGTGCAAAAAATGTTTAGTGCTGGTGAATGCCAGCTTGTACAGCTCCTTCTGAACACCAAGACAAAATAGCAAGTGTGTTGGGAATCATCAATACATGGCCTGACAGGTTTTATTTCTTTTTATGTGACCTTCCTTCTCTGGTTTTGGTGTTTTATCGTTTTACATAGGGTCATACTGGTAGGATTCTGTTCTACCACAGTAGAGAGATAAGGGCTCCACCACCACCTGGGAGGCTGCTCCTCCACATTGATGGTGGCATTCACTCCTTCTTGGAGAAAAGAAAAAAGACATTAATGGAGGAGGTTGATAATGTTCACCAAAGCTTAGTTTGATAAGAATAAGAAGTTTCTTTAAAGCGCAGATTATTTCCATTTAGTTCTAGATGTCTTTTAGAGCTGATGTGGATGCAGACAAATTAATTTTCCCCCTTCTCCTTCCCTTAATGTTTTCCAGAAACTAAAAACAACAACAGCTTGGTTTCAAAGTGTCATCCAGATTTTTGGTTAGATGGCAAGTGGAGATGCTGTGCTCAGACAGAGAAGATGGCACTTGGCTGTGTGGAGTATGATCCCTCCAAAAATGGTATGGGATTTGTTAAGACCATCCTGATCTTGCAAACATTTATTCCTAGCAAAAGTAAAGGATCAAATCTGTCTTGTATAGAACATCAAAAAATATGGTGTTACATTTCCATCAAGAAACATGTTGCTGCAGGACATCCTATTTTGTTCTAACCATATTTCCTCTGTGGCTTCAGTGGCCAAGAGTAATCCTGACTTTGTCTCTTGAAAACACATAAAACTGGTAAATCGTTCCTCACCCAATAAACTTTTGTCTTGTATCTGAGTGATTCCTTAAGCAATCTGACCCCCAGTTTCAAACCCCTGCTGTGTGGCTGAGATTCACTGTGTAGGCTGAGATTCAAGAGTCCAAGGCTCGCTATTCACTGGGTTTGTATCACTTGTATCCATTCATTACATTGATGGTTTCTCCACTGGTTTTGTCCTGATTGACTTCAAATTTTCTTTCTTGATTTAATTTCAGCCTCAAAGAAGCCTCTTCCTCCCACTCCTGAAGATAACTGGGTGAGTGCAGTGAGGCATGTTAAGCTGTCCTTAGTGTCCTGTCCTGTGTGATTAACTATCAGTGGGAAATGTGTCCTCATTAAGGTTCACAACAGTGCAGTGACCTAGAATTTCACCTGTGATAACATTCCCTGGGCATTTTCTGTGCAACTGAAATTTTTATATGAAATTCATTGTTTGAAAGTGGTAAAGATTCTCACATTGCCACCATACCCCACTAGATGCCCTGGAGTGCTTTCCTAGCCTTGAGGCTTTTGAGCCCAGAGGACACCAGTGCTGCCAGGAAAATATCATTTTAGAGAGTATGCCACTGGTTTTTATGAATATCATGAGCCTTTTGCCTTGTTTGTGCAGGAATTGTTTCTATACCCCAAGGAAGCCTTGGTCATAGCCATATATGACTATGAAGCCCAGAATCCACAGGAGCTGACTTTACAATATAACGAGGAATATTATGTGATTGACAGCTCTGAAGAACATTGGTGGCTGATTCAAGATAAGAATGGGTAAGTCCCTTTTCAACAGCCAGTTTACAAATCCTTTCTAAATCCAATTTGTTCTTCCATCAGCACACATGCTGGCCCCTTGTTCGACTTTTGCAGAGTGTCTTCTGACATACAGGGAAAAAGTGATGGAAGGTTATTTAGGTTAACTGTCTTCCCTTTAATGTTGCTTGTATTCAGGCAGCTGGAGAAAAGTCAATTTAAAAGAAATAAACAGTCCTTCTCTCAGGCTGATATTTGCTGTGATACACGTAGGGGAAAAAATTGTGAAACTCCCCAGAAGTTTAGAGGTGCAATCAGTTGTTTTCTTCTCCAGTAATCCTGCTAAATACAAAACAACCAGCACTGCTATCATGCAATGAGCAGGCAAATCTTTCAAGGCTGACTCCTACAGACACAGAGAAAATCCTGTCTGTCAGCACACTCACACTGTGTTGCATCTCAACAGGCACGAAGGCTACGTGCCAAGCAGCTACCTGGTGGAAAAATCACCCGAGAATCTGCAAATGTATGAGTAAGTTGTGCCTATGTTTTTCTTGTACCTCTGAGTGCCCTGGATTTGAAGCTCCAAGCCTCAAATGCCCCTACTCCGGACCACATGTCAGTGCTGGCCCTGGGGACACTCAATTCAGCTTTTCAGCAGAAACTTTCCTAGCCTGGAAACGCTGACTCGGAGTCTTCTGATGTTTTCAGGTGGTACAACAAGAACATCAGCAGAAGCAAAGCAGAAGCTCTCCTCAGGGATGAGGTAAACCAGTGTTATGTATGAGGTGGATGGGAAATACTAATTAATTAATGACAAATGAAGCCTGCAAGGGCTGCTCTGTGTAAGAGAGCTGAACCCTGGGTTCCTACTGCATTACTGGCCTTAGTGTGAGATGCCAGATAAAGGACCACCAGCACCACCCCCTTACCTCCACGTTTGCTGAGCATGGGCAGAGAGCTGTGCCAACCTGCTTTAGCCAAACACACACAATAGCTGTGGCTAGTAGAAAACACTGCTTCAGAACACTGTGTCAACTGAAAACTGTGATATTAGCTCATCTTTTCAGTCTCTGCAGGAGGCCTGTGGATGCCATTAGTTCTCTGAAAATTTAAGTGAAATCATGCTGAAATATTTTGGATGAAAGCCGAAAGTATGGAGTTTGTTTTTAGTTTTGTATGTCTGTGTGCATGTGAGCACACATCTTTAATTTTTCAGTTGAGCCAGAGTTTTCCAGTGAAAATATAAAGAATAAGCTTCTTGTTCAGATTTTCCACACAAACATAACCTCAGTTTTTAAATAAGCTCTTACACTAACAGGTGCCCCAAACAGAGCGTTGTTGCTTGGAACGACAGTATTTTATGGAAATAAAAGCGGTTTTGTGTGGTTTTAAAAGTTCTTCTAGCTCCTATAAACTACTACAGGACATGTCCACACACAATTTAATAAACTTATTTTTTCTCTTGGTCCTACCAGCACAACTTTTCTATGGCAACTACCCCCATGTGGCTGCAGAGACTTCTGGTTCAAAACTTTGCAACCCTCACAGCTTCCCCAAAAAATGAGGCCAAGCTTGAGAGTGATCTTCGGCCAGGCTTGGTGTCAAGTGAGAAATAAGGACAAAAATATAGCTTAAAGTAACTCAGGCAGGATGCTGTCACCAAAACTTGCCTACCTTCGATACTTGCCAGGGAGATGAGTCCTGAAGCCCTCACTGTGCATGATATAGATGCTTCTAGAGCAGCACAGAGACTCTTTTCAGAGCTTCCCTGTGCTGGATATTGCATTGTGCAGATACTGGAGCTGATCAGTCCTCTGGGAAGGTGGGAAGAAGTCCAAGGCAGGGTGCACGTGGTGGATTAGGTTTCCATGAAGTGTTGTGGGTGAGTAGAAGGCATATAAAATGGAGGAAACCTACCATGTAAAGCAAAGGAGGGAATGAAATAATCAGGCACTTGGGATGCCAGACGAAAAGCATCTTTATTTGCAAACAGAAGTAAAACGTGTTTTTATTATCAGTATATAGGCCAGTGCAGCAAAGTTCCATCAAAACTATGATGTTAAACCTTCTCCATTGCCATCGGATCCATCAGTGTCTGGCCCTGCGGGATCATGACCTATGAGATATGTTAGCATTGAGATGAGTAGAAAACAATCATAATGAAAAGTTAAAAAGGAAAATTGTTCTGTGAGTGCCAGAGTGCAGGAAGCTTTCCTACACATTTATGTTTAGATACTGGATGACTGGTGTACCCATGAAAGGGCAGCATCATGTCCAAGCTTTTCCCATTTGTGGTACATTGGTAAATTAGCTTTCATACACTCCCATATGGATTCTCTGGTGTTGGATAAACTGTGCTCTCATTCTGTAGCTGCTCAACAGAGAGCACTCAGAGGGGTTTGCCTTTCCACTCGGATGCACATTTCATTGAACACATGTTCTGTCAAATAGGGTTGAAGGCAATCAATGAGTTCAGAATTTCTAGGAGAGGCTTGGAGGGACAGAGAGGCACAGCCACATGAACTCAGCACAAATGCCTAACTCTCATTTCCTCTGAGAGCTCTGAGAGGAAACTGAGCTAAAAGCACACAGCACCCAAGAGACACCAGTGGGGTGTACCTGCAGGCCCTGGGCAGCCACCAGAGCTGTGTGTGGGACACACCAAGCTCTGTCAGTGGGCTGAGGCCCTTTTTTCCCCTACATGTTTAGCACATCCTCATGACTGAGCAGTAGACAGGGCTGAAATTAGCACAGCTTTGCCCCCAGCCTGCTTCTTTTTTTCCATTATGTCTCTAACCAGTTTTCTCTCCTTTGCTCCTGTTCCAGGGTAGGGAAGGTGCCTTCATGGTGAGAGATTCGAGGCAGCCTGGCATGTACACAGTCTCTGTTTTCACCAAAGCATTAAGGTACAGCTGAGCTCAGCAGCTTTTCACATCAATTACATCAATGAAATGGCTTCTGTGAGTGTGTAATCTCTGTATAGTTGTTTTGGCATTATAAAGAGAGAGCAGAAGGCTCATGAAAATGATAGAGGAAAACACTTCCAAAAAAGGCAGAGAGTCAGCTGCCAGTCACAAAGTGTTTTAAAGGCTCCACTTCTCCCTGCATCTAAATATGTGCCTATAAATAGTGCCTTAGACATCACTGGGATTGTAATTCTGATGAAATTGTCCCCGCAGCTGAAGTGTCCATGGGATCAACATGGACTGTGTGCTGGACTCATCAGAGGTGGGTAGCACAAGATTAGTGAAAGGGTTTCAGTAATGGGGCAGAAGTTTTTGTTTCACAAAGAAGAGGCGGAGAAACTTATACTTAACCCTGTCTTATCAGGAAACCTCAGCCTTTCTAGAGATGAGACCATCTATGAGTGAAAAGGAGAGCATAGAAGTACACAGACTTAATTAGCAACTGCACTCACTCCTTGCTCCTCTCCCATTCATTCCGGGGGAAGGTTTTCCCCTTTTCTCACTTGCTACTCTTCTGTTTATACCCCAGATTCCTGTCTTTTTGCTGAAACCTAGTTTTCCTCAAAGAAAACCTCCTCTCTTTCAGCACAGACAACAATCCTGTTATAAAGCATTATCACATCAATGAGACAACTGACTTTCCCAAGCGGTATTACTTGGCAGAAAAGCATGTGTTTGACTGCATCCCTGACCTCATCAACTACCACCAGCACAATGCAGGAGGTGAGTGAAGGCCAAAGCTGACCAGGGAAGTTGTTGGTTTACCCCATGCAGCCAGGTGGCTGTTTTGAGTGAAGGAAGGCTCCCAAGCCCTCTGTCCTCACAATGAAGTGTTAAATGGCATCACCTCTTCTTCCACTTATCCTGGTACTTGGATGGCAGAAAAATGACCATTTCAGGCCAGTTTCCACTTCCAGCATTACATCTTCACTCTAGCTGTCCTTCTAAGGCTGACTGTGGCCAACACAGATGCCATGACATACCATGGAGAGCCCTGGGGGTGGATCACCACTGCCAGGCCAAGCTACCTGTTTGAATTACACAGCAGGGCCTTCTTACCCTGGAGGTGATATATCCCTGGACTTTGATTTGACACAAAGTCAGGGACATGGCCAGGATCCATAGCCAGACATGGGAGTCACCAAAGACTCCCATCCCTACAGTACAAGAGCACTACAGGAAACCCTAGACTTCAAAAATACCCTAAAAATAAAAGGTATAATTTGGAAATTCATCAGAATTAATAGAGACTCACAGCTCACATTTGCTGACAGAGCAAAAATGAAAAATAAGCTGAAACTGCTCAGAATTGGCTTCCTTCTAACAGGCAGGAAATCAGTCTGAGCAGAAGTTCAGCTGCCCTCAAGTGGAGCTGAGAACTCAGTACAATAAGCCTTCTCTGAGTATCCAAACTGCCTCCTGGGGTAGTGACAGCCACACTGCCCATGGCTGTGACAATAACTGGGACCCCCCTTTCCCTCTGTCCCCCAGGTCTCGTCACTCGGCTCAGGTATGCGGTGTCTTCGTGGAGAAAGAAGGCCCCGATCACTGCAGGGCTGAGCTATGGTATGGTACCCTCATGACTATATGAGAATCACACTCCTTCCTGGTTAGCTGGCTGATCCTGCATATCCCCGTGGCTGTTGATGAATATTCATGTCACCATAGGCATAATAAATAGCTTTCTCCAGATCTTTACACTGCACTGTTCACTAGATTATCATCTTTGCCATTACCATTGGTAACTGACTGACCCGACAACGCAGGGCCTTGAGGGAGTGATGAGAACCCCAGGGTCTCAATGAAGTCAACATTAAATACTAAAATGAATGCTGAACAAAGGGGATGGGAGTGGGATCACAGCACAATTTGATGAAAGCTAAGTCTCTCTTGAAAGATGCCTCCATTTGAGTATTGTTGTCAACAGAATTTTGCCAGTATCATCCTTATTGTAATTCTTGGAGACATCAAAGAAACTCAAACCCCATGTTGTGCTCAGTAGTGCACATATGCATGGCAGAAACAATCCTTCCTGAAGAACTGGATAGACAAGACAAAGGAGGGGGAAAAGGGGATGTTGTTGTTCCTACTCTTGAGTATGACCTGCAGCATAGGCTAATCAAATGAGCTATCAAAGGTCAGACAGGCAATTTGAGGGAGAGACAGAAAGTCTCACACCATGTTCTGTCTCCCACAGAAGCTTTTTGTTTGACATCCTACTGCTCAATCCTTACTCTTTCTCCCTTACAAACAACAGGAAAATTGGTCATTAATGCCTCTGAGCTCACCCGTGTGCAGGAGATTGGCAGTGGTCAGTTTGGGGTGGTCTACCTTGGCTACTTGCTGGACAAGACGAAAGTAGCCATAAAGACCATCCGTGAGGGAGCAATGTCCGAAGAGGATTTCATTGAGGAAGCTAAAGTCTTGATGTAAGTAGCAGATTCGCCAAGAAAATCAGCCCCTGTGGGATTTGTAAGATTGAACTAAAGTGTTGGCAGGAATATGAGTGGAGAATTCAAACTTTGATTATCTGCTATGAGTCTAAATAGTAGAGACAGGTGAGCTCTGGCAGCTACAAAGGAAGGCAATTCAAAGTGTAGGTGAATTACTATGCTTTGAAGTCTATCAATATCCAGAATGTTCTTCCAGATCTCTGCTGCTCAAGAAGGCAGGGTTCATTGATAGTGCATTTTGGAAAGCAAAGTGGTTTTTGTCAAAAATAATTAGATGGAGAAATATCTTACAATTTGAGGGAAATTTTATTGAAAATCTTTACCTGTAGAAGTTTTTTTGCTTTGCACAACTGAATATATCCTCTTTGGTTTTATTGACTTTATTTGTATTTGTTGCATTTCCCTCCCTTCAAAGCAAACGGAAATTGATTTTATTTTTGTTTGATTGTATGATTTTCCATGCAGAAAAGTCTTTTGGTGACCATTATCATTGAAAAGGGATGATACTTAGACCTACTTGACATGAGACTTGGTCTACCCACATGCAGAGATGGCCTTTGCAGAGAGCAGGGTGCAGCACAGTGGCACATGGAGCTGTGTATTAACCAGTTGCTGTAAGAATAGAAGGCATTGAGCCAATTCTTTTCCACCTTCCCTCCCTATCCCACAGGAAGCTGTCTCACCCCAAGCTAGTCCAGCTTTATGGCGTGTGCTTTGAGAACACTCCCATATGCCTGGTGTTTGAGTTCATGGAGAATGGCTGTTTGTCCGACTACCTCAGGAGCCAGCGGGGCACTTTTTCAAAGGAAACCCTGCTGGGGATGTGCCAAGATGTGTGTGAAGGAATGACTTATCTGGAACAAAACTCTGTCATCCACAGAGACCTGGTATGTTGGTCCCACATAGACTTTTTCTTTGCTCCGGGTGGATGTTTTCCTGTGCTTTCTTCCTTCCTTAATTTCAGCTTCCACACTCCTCCTACGTATTTACAGGGGATCCTGTATCTGCCCTTATTGCAGAAGCAGCACCAATACTTGAGGGAAAAAAAAAACAACCCCTGGACTGCTGATTAATCTATTTCCCTTAATTGTGTTTGGGATAGAAGAAACAAGGCTATAAAGCTTTTCTTCCTTCCTGAGTGGACTCTTTTGCTCCCCAAGAGCCACAGTTCCTGAGTACTGACTCCTCTTCATGTCTAAAATCAGGGGAAAAAAAAAAAAGACCTGTTCTTGTGTAATTCATGTATAAACATGCATTGATGATCAAATAGTTTTAAGTAGGTAGTGTTCAATCAAGCCCCATCAGTCACTGTGGCTGTTTCACTAGGGAGCAAGGACTGTGAGTAGCTGTGGATATTTTAGGGTTTTTCTCTGCCCTTTCTGGGCAATAAGGGCCTGAAAGTCAGATTGATGGTTGGACAGCTTTTCTGGCAACTGGGACATGCTGTAAAATGTACTGAAAGCATAAGAAGCTTGGGGTTTTGTTCTCTTTGTATGGCACAATGTCTCTTTGATGCTCTTTTTTAAGCACTATCTGCTCTGCCAGGATAAAAGCCACCGCAGGTCAGTCTTTCAGCTCTGACCTGCTGCCTTTGCACCTTCTTTCCTTGTAGGCTGCCAGGAACTGTCTGGTGGGGGAATCCCAGGTGGTCAAAGTGTCCGACTTCGGGATGTCAAGGTAATGCCACTAAGGCCGCTCACGGTCCCTGCAGGGTTGTCATGGGATGGGGAGTTACTCAGTATTCTCCCTTCTTTTCCTGTTCCAGGATTGTCCTTGATGATCAGTATACCAGCTCCACAGGTACCAAGTTTCCAGTCAAGTGGTCTGCTCCAGAGGTTTTCTCCTACAGCAACTATAGCACCAAATCTGACGTTTGGTCATTTGGTAAGAAACTTGTCAAAATGGAAGAAATTCAACAAATCCCAGCTTAGAAAACTTAAGGGCTCAGTCCTTAAGTAAACTCTTCTAAACACTACATCCTCTGGATTCTAAGGGTGTTCTATAGCTGTGCAATGCTATATCATACCAAATAATGAACTGTGTTTCCTGCTGACACAGCAGGAGTGTCCAAGAAAAAGTTGGAGAGCCACTGACAAGATTACAGAGGAGAGGAGAGCAGAGCAGAGCAGAGGAAAGGGATAATATTTAGGCACTCCATCTCTCTGCATGTCAGTCCTAGGCACTGATTTCTCACTCAAATCCTCTGCCTTTCCAAGTTTGCTCTGCTGAGTCCATTTGCTTTATGCTGATCTGAAAATATAATTTCACTGCTCCCATTTCTCACCTCATTTCCTGCTCCCCAATGCATTGTTTTATGATTTGCGTCCATTCTTTGGTCTCCCTTCTGGACCCTCACAGATAAGAACACCGCTGTGTATTTTCTCCCCAAAGCCATAACAAAGGCTATCCCCTGGGCTGTAGATCTGGCACACTCATGGCTCTGGCCCCTCTCCAGCCAACATGCAAATCTCTGTTACTGCAGTGAATTGGGGCAGTGTGCTGTGCACAGCACACAGTCAATGGGGTGCCACTCAGCTCCAGGCCCAGCAGTAAATAATGCAGGATTATAACCTTTCCTAGTCTGTGCTTGTGAATGCTGTGCTTTCCTTGCTCTTTGCTGTGGTTCCCATCTCTTCTGCTGTGCCTGAAGCTGTGCACTCCTGGGGTGGGCTACGAGCAGCTTGGTGGGCACTGGGTGCTCAGGCCCACACAGCCTCCTTCACAAACTCAGCAGGGAGATGCTTCAGCAAGCACCATTCCTCTTTCCATGTTCCCTGGCATGTGGAGGAGGCTGTCAGCACTCACCATCTAATGACAAGGGACAGCTTTTGTCAGTGGAGCTATTGCTGACACCTCACAGCGAAGTGGCAGTGACACGGGGAGAGGCGCTACTTTGGTAAGAATGTTCTTCTGCTTCACAAATCGGAAACTGGCCTGTACACTGAGAGCCAGATGCTTCCAGAGAGGGTGCTCAGATTGATTTACAGTCAAGCCAAGCCGGGTGAAGTTGGCTTACTCCAGTTTCAGGTCTGAATGAAATATAGGTGAACTTTGCTTGTGTTGGTCAGTCCTTCCTTGTGAGATGTGCAGACAGTGGGTTGTACATCTGTCAGACTTGTTATTTCCCCATCCAGTGGGGTTTGCATAAGAGGATTCCTCATGGTCTCATGACTGTGAGCAGCTTTCTGCTCTGCTACTCTGCAGCCCATTCACCTCTTCTGCCAGGTCTGAAATCCTGCTGTGCCCAGGAGAACAAAATGGGTGTGAGAAGCTCCCAGTGCAGGAATCTGCACACTTGGGGAGTACAGCTACTTTGCTTATTCTTCAGTAGGGCCAGTAACATTGGTGTGGAGCTGCAGTCTCTTTGCATCTTCCTATTTGAAGATGTCAAAGATGGAAGCAGGCATAATTGAGCAAAGCTGAGTGTGCAACTGTGCAACTATGGAGTTTATTTCAGAACAGTCTATATATAGTCTGTCTCCATTTTCTAACACAATGTGAAAAAAGTTCCCTGCACTATGCTGGCTAACAGGAATGGAGAAGTTCATATTGCTTTATTGCTACTGAGTCTTGCCAAAATTAACAGCTTTGGGTACAGGACACACTGCAGGCAGGAACATCAGTGACATGTCTCTTGTATGTGATTAACTGGAAGCAAAAATAGATAAACTGAATCAGTGACAAAAAGCAGGTTCTCTTTCCCAGATTACACATCTGGATGGAGCACATGCACAGCATTCCCTCTTCACAGTTTTGGAGAAGACATGCTCTGCTTTCTGACACATAACACAGCATCTGACTCATGGGGAAAGACATCCCTGTGTGCTAGACTATGACAAAGTAGGATGCAGAGAAGTCAAACTGGTACTTCCACACATTCCAGTGCACAGCAGAGATCCTGGCTGGCATCGTAGAACTGTACAGCTGTGTTAGGGCCTGCCTGGTTTTTCAGATGTGTACTGAGAATCCAAGTGAAAACGCTTTTCCAAGTAGCTGACACCAAGGTTGCGCTGCAGAGAAGAACAGGTGGAAGGTGGCCACAAGTCTGCTGAGGATTTTATTTGCTTCTTTGTGATTTTTCTCATTTCTTTGCTTTAGGAGTGCTGATGTGGGAGGTCTTCAGTGAAGGTAAAATCCCCTATGAGAATCGCACCAATGCAGAAGTGGTGGAAGAAATCAATGCAGGATTTCGGCTCTACAAACCCAAGCTGGCCTCCAAGGCAATTTATGATGTCATGAGCCACTGCTGGAGGATGGTTAGTATTATCATGGGAGAGTCCTAGTTTCCAAAGACAAGAGCTTTCTTTCCCTTGGCTTAAGGGAGGAGAGAGAGGTGTACACATCACATGCTAACAAAAGAAAAAATCCTGGATGTGAAGCACTGTAGCTTTTATCTGCACAGCAAGCATACTCTGGTCTCTGCCTTTTATTTAATCTGCTGTTTCTATAGAGTGCATTGACTTCTCCAAGGAGCCCATGTAGTGCACCTAACTCAAGTTAATTCAAAAGTTTCCTTCCTAAGAAAGCTGCAGATCTGTGGGGCTGAGTTCTAACAGTGATGGTAAAAATGGCAGCCAAGTCATTAGAAGGTACTTAGTGTCCACGAGACAAAATTCACTGCTAATAGAAAAGAAACATTGCAAAGAAGGAAGCTGGTTCTTCCATTGGCTTTTTCTCTATAGAGATAGATTGTATTTTTATTAATACTCAGTTTCTTCACAAGATTTTCCTTGCTAACCCTGTCATTCCTCACAAGCTGACAAAAATGTTCTTCCTCTCTCTTCTCTCCCCTGCTCAGAGGAAAGACGAGCGGCCACCCTTTTCTCTTCTGCTGTTCCAGCTGAGTGAAATCTCTGAGTATGATCTGTAATCATGGCACTGTTCACTCAGCACAGCTGAGAGTCCTGAGAGAAGAGAAGACTGGATTTTCCCCACACAAAGCATTAACAGGAATCCTCTCACCATAAACACTTGCCATATGCCTGGGGAGAAGAGAGGGCAGAGGCTGGTACTTCCAGACAGACAAGATATCCCCGGGTCTTCCAGAGCCTAGACAGACACAGGCTTTGGTTTGGCCAAGAATGTGGTTTGCATCTTAAAAGCAGAAGCAGCAATTGAGCACAGAGTCCTGAACCACACAGTCCAGCAAAGGTATTTCTCCTGAAGATGCAGCCTCAAAACGAAGAGATCTGACATTGCTGTTCCAGTTTTGTGAACTCCCAAATGAAGGTCTTCCCTGGGGAAAAGAAAAACCTGTCTTTAACTGAGGAGGAACATTTAGACAGTGCAGAGTGCTATGTGTTTCCAGTCCAGGACAAGACAGAGTTCTGGGATCTGATTACCTGTGAAAGGTACAGGAATCTACTGCTGAACTGGTGTGTTCGGAAAAAAGGAGCTGGAGGGCTCACAAGGGAGCCATGAGGAAAAAACATGCAGAGTACATGCTCAGTGCACCAGTGATAATGAGAAGAGTTTTCTCATACTTCAAAGAGTAACTGAATCTCAGAGGTAAAGACCTTTCCATCTCCTCTGTGAACAAAGGGACTGATCAAAGAAAAAGTCCAATGCAAATGGACTGCCTGGGTTCTTTCTCCACAAGGAGTTCTCCATTATGTGGTGACAGCAGAAGAAGGTATAAACAAAATCCATCTCCTGGTATTTAAACTAAAATCTGTATTTCCACTGCAAGACAGAGACACTGTTTTGACATAACTGACCCCAAAACCAAATGTCTGGGTGTTGGTGTCCTGCAGAATTTGTAAATTTGTGAAGTGCAGGACTTTCTGCTAAGCATTAACAATAACTAGGGAAGTCAAGAGGGCTCACAGATGATATGTGCATATATGCAGGATGTATTTTTTATGCTTCTCTGTTTTGGGTAGGTGAGAACACAAGGAAACCTTACATGACAGCAGCTTACAAAAACTCTAAGGTGCAAACTTCCAGCAGCAATCTCCTTTTACACAATCTCCAATTACAGAAGTCAGGTTCAAATATGTTTGCCAACAAAAATGGAACAAGGAAATAATGTAATCCCATGATCTAACATATCCTGCATTGAACTATTTCTTCACAGAAGGCAACTTTATTTTTGGTATTTTTCAGACCCGTGGTTCTAGAGTAGCTTTTAGGAGCCAGAATATCTTTTCAGGTATGTGGATATGGGCAAGGCATCAGTTCCTGCCTTATACATCTTAACACACTCTGTGGCAGGGGTATCTGCAGGCTCACAAAGTTAAGCTTCTGGCTTGCTGCCCTCATCATCCTTGGAGGAACCAGGGGTCTGTTGAGCTTGAGGACATTGCTATTTAGTAGCAATATTGCTCTGCTAGGTGATCTTACTGAGGTTATATTTATATTTGTATATGTGTAATATTTATTAGCTAGTGTGTGTTGCAGAAAACGATATTGTGATGTTTTATGTTCGTTTTTACAAACAATAAAATTGCTGAGTCCCAACTGTGGGGTTCACTATATGTTAGCAAAAATGTAAAAACCATCCTCATGCAACTATAATCATACAGTTTGCTGTTCCTCCAAATCCCTTCCACCAAGAAGCAAACAGGTTTTTTCTGGCTTTCTGAAATATCTCTGTTCCCCAGAACCTGTTCTGGGATTAGGTTATTATGAAGTATTCAGAATCTCTGCAAATTCAGTAATTTACTACATAGTTTACTATATGGACACCAGATTTTTAGGTCTAAACATCCATTATGGTGGCTTTAAATTCTCTGAATCTTCATAAAATGGGGGTAGTAGTATTTGAGTGCTCCCAGAGGGTGTTTCCCCATGATAATTTACAGGGATCTTCAGGAATCTCAAAAGGTTAGTGCCTTACTGGGATAACTGCATGATGTCAGTGCACTGTAACCCAGTCCCCTCCCACCAGAGCAGTGTCTATGGCGAGTTTAGGTGGGTGCCCTTCATGTGGCTCCACTGGATACGTTCTCCACAAAGTAGAGATCAGAATACCACGCTCCTGCTGCAAAGTGAGTAACCTTTCTCTGAATGCCCCTTCCCTGTCTCCTTAGAAAGCATTTGCAATCTGCTGAATGTTTAACCCACTCCACCTTTACTCGATGGAAAAGTGTTTCAGCAAGGTGGGAGGTTGTGCTTGTCCCTGTTTCCCCGCTGGGTGCACGGCTCTGCTGACGCTGCACACTTGGCTGGAGCCAAGGCCCAGAGCTCTATCTCAGCGTGTCCCCAACCTGCTGCTGCGATGGCCAGGCACAGGCACAGCCAGGCTGGCGTCCCTGCTAGGAAAAGGCAGTCAAGCAGTAACCTCATCTAGAAGGAGCAGCTGATGCTTCTCAGTGGAGACCAGGGGCTGAAGGGCGGCAGAATTAGCCATGAAAACCTCTTTCCTGGGCATGTGTTGGTCACCCTGGGGAAGTGGGGGTTGTCAATACACAGTTACCTTAAAATCAGGCCTGATAAAAGTCTAGAATTTCCTGAAACATTTTTTAAAGAACATGGTTTTATGTGATGTTTGGCTTTGTCCCTCTCTGAACGCTGCACTTGTCAGCGCGGCCGGATTCAGGTGAATGGCTCTGCTAAATCTCACTTGGCAGCCACTTCAAATCCGTGTGTATTCTTCTGTTCAGCTCCTCCCACCATCGAGTTATCTCTCCCCTCCACCCCTCCACACAGAGCCAGCTGATGCACACACTCCTGAGTCTGTAGCTGCATGGGGCTGCTCCTGACTGTCATACTTCCCAGCCTGCAGAGAGATCCGCAGGACAAATGCAGAGAAGCTCATTCTATTATTCTACAAGCTAAGACAACACAGAGCAGAAAATTAAAATATTATCCTAACATTAATGGAATTCCCATCACCCTGAGCCTGGCTGATAATGGGACCAGATTAAACTGTGCAAAAAAACAGTCCACAGAAGTCTTTGTTGCCACAGTTTTCTTGAACTGACCTGTTTTCACCCATGGCCTCAGAGCAATATTAGCTGTAAAATCCTTTGTGTCTGCAGTACCAATGCTCACTTACTGAATTTTTCTGCCAAGAATTAAATAGTAAAAAGAGGAATGATGGCTACAAAATGTTCCGGTCAAAGGTGAGATAGAGTTACAGATATCACAGAATCATAGAATAGTTTGGGTTGGAAAGGACCTTTAAAGGTCATCTAGTCCCACCTCCAAAGAAGAAACACTATTCAGGGGAAAGAGAAGGGTCTACTCCCAGAGAGGATATTAATACATTTTTTCAGGTGTAGTCCTCTCCTGTAAAACAAAGATAGTTCCTAAGACTGTCCTGCTGCTTTTCTAGTTTGTAGACCCTGGTGCCTTTAAGCCCATTGCATCCATTCAAATCACAGCAGCAGAACTGCAGTGTAAACTGGTGTCCAAGCTTCCCTGCGGAGTCAACACACACCCATAGGGAGCAAGCTCAGCCCCTCACTAGCATGGACAACAGCAGCAGTCTCTAAGGAATCAGAGAGGTCACTCTAATCCAGGAGGGGCAAGATAGTCCAGTTTTGGCATAGGCTGATGCTCAGGAAAGGAACACTGCCAGGGCCACCAAGGAAGTACATCTAGACCTATATCTAGACCCCCAGCAGTCCTGGGGTATCCAGCAGTGTCTTTCAACAAGATAGTTCTATACAGGGCTTGTGTCAGTCACCATGAGGCAATGTTCCTCTGGAAGCTGTGAGAGGTCCAGTTTGGATTTCACGGTAGATCTGAAGAGCTGTATTAGAGCTTTAAAAAGAATTATGAGCAGAAGGACTGGAAACCTGTCCCTGAAGAAAAGTCAGATGCCAAAAATGCCAAAAGGAAGACCTTTTGGATGTGGTGCTGACTCAGAAGAGGATTGGCGCTCCGAGTAAAGGCACTGCCTTCTGGTTTTGGCCCCCAACATGCTCAGTCATCCGAGGCTCCATATGTATTCTATACATACATGTATTCTGCAAACAGCATGTTTGTTAAGATAGTAGGTTAAACTTAACAATGGTCCTCCGAGGGGCACAGTGGCTGAACACCCGATACCCAGCAAACACAGCAGCAGGGAGCTGGGGAAACCCAGCCGGGTCCTGCCTCCTCAGGGACCCAAACCCTCTCTGCCAGCACCAGACCTCCGAGGGGCTGCAGCAGCTGCCCCCAGCCCTGTTCCCTCCGCGCCCCGGGTGGGGGTGGCTGGCGGCCTTCCCTGACCCCGACCCCGCCGGCGCCGCGCTGCCGCCAGCCCGGCCGGCCCCGGCGGAGCGACCACCGCAGGAGGTCCCCGCCGCGGGGGGAGAGCTGCGGCCCCCCCTTCCCGGCGAGGAGGGGGATGCAGCCCCCGGCCCCGCCGCGCATCCCCCGCGCCGCTGGGGGAGGAGCCGCCCGCGCCGCTCCAGCCCCTTCCCGCGGCGGGGGCCGGGGCTCCCCCCGCCGCCGCGCCGCGCGGAGGGGCCGGCGGAGAGCCGCGGAAGTGCACTTGCTGCAGCCATTTCCTGCTCTTTGTGCGGGCGGCGCGGAGCATCCCGCCGAGCATCCCGCGGAGCATCCCGCGGCGCGGAGCATCGCGCCCGCCGAGCGCAGGTGAGCGGGCGGGGATGGGCGCGGGGTTGCGCGGGGGCTGCGCGGCTTCACCCCCTGCCTTCCTTTCTTCCTTCCTTCCTTCCCTTCTCCCCCCTCGCCGCCGAGCGCGGTGCCCCCGCCGCCCCGGGAGCGCGGAGCGGGGGCGGCGGCGGGGCAGGTGCCGCCACCCCGGCAGCGGAGGGCGGGCGGCCCGGCCGGGCCGGGATGTGCGGGATGTATCCCACAATCCCTAGAGCTACCTGCGGCGCTCAGCCTGCCCGCAGCCGCGGCAAAGCGCCGGGGAAAAAAATAGCGCAAATCCCTCTCTTCCCCCCCGCCCATGCCGGCCCCGCGCCCCCAGGACGTGGGAAGGGGCCGAGCCCCCGGGCCCGCGGGCGCTGCAGGCCCCGCTGTGGCAGCGGGAGCCCGAGCCGGGGTGGCGGCGATGCTTGGCGCGGGGAGAACGGGGCGCGGAGGGGATGGCGATGATGATGATGATGATGGAGGAGCGGCGGCGCGCAGCGCCGGGCTGGCGGCGGGGGGCGGCCCTGGCGGGGGCTCCGGCCAGCTCCCGGATCACCCGTGGCGTGGAAATGTGGTGTTCCTGGGGGAGGAGGGGGATGGAGGCAGCGAGGGAGGCTGAGCCAGCGCTTCGAGCGATGGCTGGAGCGGCGCCCG